CGTGATGCATCAGATTTACATGTTATGATCAAGAAGAACTGAATTTAGGTCTGACATTGTCCCATAGTGAAGACTTTGCGGAAATCTTTTTAGTTTGTGGCCAAATTACAGTGAAATTGATTTTAATGATTGAATCTGTGGATCCAGGACCAAGCATGAAAACACAGTTTAAAGTGGTAACATTATGGTATGGTTTGAAGGAATTATACAGCATTTCATATGCAAATAAATGTCATCCTGATTAGTGGTATTGCGAGCTATTAATATATGCTACCTGTGATTTTATAGTAGGTTTGCTTTATAGCCAGCACAAGCAAATAGACCAGAGAACACTGTAACATATTCAGTAGTTCAGTGAGAGCACTAACACCTTGTGAAAGCAATAAAGAAGCATTATTACTCAGATGTTCTGCATCACTAATGTACAGTAGAGTCTTGTGGCAGAAAAAAAGCAACTTGATACGTACAGCTCGTGCTACTGTAATTGCACAGCTTCGTTCGGTCGCGTTATTAATGTAACATTACGCCTCATCAAGTTTGCATCTATAGCGTATTCCCTCATCTTAGAATCTGCATTACTCATGGATTGACATTTACAATAGAGTGAAACCATTTACAAAGGAATTGATCAGAGAAAGGCGCCTGTAGCCAATTTCAAGCTGGAACCCGTAACATTAACTGGTTTGGACCTGGTTAGCCGTGCAGCTTGAGTTACCATGGAGATCTAGTTTGACATACCTCACCAAGCCACTAATCTCGCTTCATGGTACACCTCTCTAGTCTTTTGGAAAATGTAGGCTAAACAAATGATGTCCAAACACACACCATGATATCACTCTGCTAGCCAATATGACCCACAAAATAACTGTCAAGTGTGGTTAAATATAATGAGAGAGACACTAGTTGCTCCAAATCACATTTGATATAGTCCACAGTAATTACCTCAGCAGACCAAAACAACACACACATGCACGCTCACTGTTTCCCTCTCTTATCCTCTCTGTTGCTTTCACACACTATCTTATCCTGCCATGTCGCCTCTGTTTGATTTTGCTTTCCTAGCTTTTTCAGCATAAATGACTCGCACCACACTGGCAAACTAGCCCGATAGCTTATCATGACTGAGCACACACATGGACTAACATGTAAGCGTTCGCACCCACAAGCCTCGGTCCACCCACACACGCATTCACACACAAATCATGTCAAGCTATTGTGTATTTAAAGTGGCAACCTGCTGTTTTTCGCTCCTCCCGGTCTCCTGTGCCTGTCAGAGGCCTCTGATGCTGTTGTTTAATGAGCAGAGGCTCTCCTCACACTTGCTCCTAGTCTGGTCTGCTCCTGTTGCTGTGTGTCTGCTGTTGCAGCGCTGACCAGAGGAGACATGCAGGTCTGTGTCCCAAGGCTAATTGCTGCTACTTGGCTGATAGTCTTTCTGTGCTCCACTCTCATTGACTCCCCGGACTCCAGGGGGATTCCCACAGGCACCCAAAGACAAACAAACCTGGGCGGACAATCGATAACGGATGCAAGAGTTACCGCTCAGCGCAGCCGCTGATTAAGATTCCCTAGGAATGTGTGTGTGTGTATGTGTGTGCACAATGTAAAAAGCATGAGTATGTGATGGTGTTTGCTATTTGTCCCCCACTCCTTCAGTGCTAACTGGAATCTTCAGCCAGTCCCTAAGTGCTTGTTTATGTGATTTTGATTAAGAGCATCACAGAGTTCAGAGGCATCCTCGCAACAACACCACATTAATGCTCCCAGGTAATTATTCCCACAACATCTCAGGTTCACAACAGGGTAGATGAGATCGTGTCTGTGCCTCAATGTGAGACCTGATCTACTAACAGTGTTAAATACTGTAGGACTGTGTGCTATTATGAGTAAGCTTAAGATAGCTTTTATCAATCACAAGATATAGATGCAGATGATATACTCACATGTACATATAATCAGTCAATCAGTTGTTATCTGTAGGCGAAGGGACAAGATTTTGGAATAGGTAGTGTTCTGGTTTCTTTTTGTAGTTGGTTTGCTGTCCAAGTAGTATTTACCACGTTTGAATGACAGGTGGAGGTGGAACCCATTGGCACAAACGCAGTCTTGGAACCCAACAGCTATCGTCTAATGACTGTTAAGCTTTGTGTCAGCTTTTTTTTTTTTTTTTTTTCTTAAACTATGTGCATTCATAAGCAGATATCTGTTTATAGAGATTAGCGCAAATGACCGGCACTGGGAAAAGAAAGTCTTGGCCGGAATATCCGCTCGCTACATCAGATCAGCCTGAAATGTTGGCCCTCTCCCCCAGAGGTCTTATCATTGTCAGCCCAATAGCCAGTGTTTTTCTGTTTTCACTGTCTGTAACCCTTAATTTTAACTTCATGTTACATTCTACATTTCAATTCCCTTTAACCCTCTTATATATTTTTATTTCTTAAAGGAGCACTAGTTCACATTTCCCAAATTGTAATCAAATAGACCAATATTATTTGAATGTAGGCATGTCTTTCTTGCATTAAATGTTCACGATTGCAATCTTGAACTCTGTTAATTTCCAGTTTAAGTGAATATTAAGTTGTTATTAGAAGTCAAAATCTGATGGTTACCAGTAAGATGTCAACGGTTAACCGAAGAGAATATTTTTGACTAGCGGCTCTGCTCATTAGCCGATTATCTCTAGTAACACTGTCCTGATCCCCCCAGGTTGCCTCGGTGAGTAAGTGGCTCACTTTTGGGCTGCAAACCCTCTTAAGCATTTGTAACTATCACTGTAAGCTCTTTTTGCACTGTTAGTAGTATCAGAACGGCTAGTGGCGCTAACATAGTTAACAATGCTAAAGAGATTTTGTGTCTCAGAATGAAGCTGCTTACTCACTGGGGTGACCTGGGGAAGCCCGGAGGGTGGCCACAATTTTTCCGCAGCAATGTTGTTGGTCAGTCCCACCTCTGTGACAGTGTTACCAGCAGTTATCACCAAATGACTGGCGCGCTAGCTAATGTTAGCTCCCACCCAGTCCGGATGACTGACAGTGCGGAGCGGCCAAGGCTTAAATTAGTCAAGCACTGCAGACCGAAGCGTGGGCAGTGACCATTATGAATGTTAACGTGGCTAGCCAGCTATCTATCAGCAAAGCCAGCACAAAATAAAATAAAAGGCACAAGATTTACATCACAATACATTATAATATTACCACGTTTAAATGGATAGCGCTTCAAAATGTGGTGCTAAAGCTCACTAGGTCAATGGAGTGCCACTCTAAGAAGAAAGCCCTCTTGTATATCATGTCATATTGCATTTTTTTTCTTAAAAATTAAGTCATTAATGAGTGTTGGACTACTGTAAGCAATATTAACCGTAAATGTCATCCCAAGGCAACATTCTGGGATTGTCTTTGTAAATAAATATTGCTTTTAGTGGCCCAGGAAATTTGAAGAATCAGCGTACTGTACTCCATGATCTGTCCCTGTGTGCCACTGACTGCCATCGGCTAGCAAGCAGTGTTGTGCGTTAGTGTCATCTAGTGTCCCCACCCTCGCTAACCCTCCGTTACCTCTGCCCGTCTTCTCTCTGGACTCATGTTTGCTTTTGTTCTACTCCCCAGCTCGCCTGACTCACAATGATGATCTTGACCAAGTGCATGGAAAGGTCAAGGTTGGCCAGCAAATTGCCTCAAAGCAATCAGCCTTGTCTCTGTGCGCTAACAGTGTGAGCCTCTCTGTCCCTGTCGCCATCTTGCCATCTCTCCATTGTTTTTTCTCTACTTCTCTGTCTCTGTGTTTACCCGAGGGGGAGACGTGTGTCGGAGAGGATTGACAGCAGGAGAGGGTGGGGGGAAGGGTGGGTGATCTGCCCTGCTTTGAAGTCTCGGCTCTGACCGGTGGCTGGGCAAGGGCTGGGGACTTGAAAGCACCAAGCGACACTGCCGGGGTGACATTTCAGCACAGACCAGCGTGACCCAGCAGGGTACTTGTGTGTGTTTGTATATACCCATGTGTGTGTGCATGTGTGTGTGTGTGTGGACAAGAGAGAGTCTCCTTATGGCTTCAGCTGTCCTCAAGGACTGCAGGCTGCTGGGGGCTATTTGCCTCCACACCAAAGGGATTACCTTTCATTACATGAAAAACAGAATCACCCATTCAACCTCTAACCCCTCTCTCAACAATAGTGCCACTGGGATGCAGTGCCACAGCTGATACCCCCGTTGTAAATGCACGCTCAGTGGCTCAATCGAGTACACACAGATACTGCATGAGCCATTTTATATGATTTTCAGAACACACACATGCACACACGAGGCTCAAGGACAGCCTCCTCTGGGTCAGCTGTTCATTCCAGCCCAGTGTGCCTGAGTGGCTTTCCTCTGATGGCTTCACACACATGAAAGACTTGTGTGTCACACACTCAGCTTAACAACATCAAAGCCTGCTCGTGCCCTGTAGCTGGACGAATGTCTTAATCTACCGCCTGATTGTGTGTGTGCGCGCCTATCTGTCTGTCCTGTAAATGGTGTAAACAGGTGTTAACATGTCAGCCCACAAGATGCCACATGCCGCTGTGTCATGATCTCCTGAACAGCTGTCCTCCCAGTCATTGTGTGCGTGGGTGTATGTGGTTGAGTGTGTGTGAGTATGCATTTACTGTAAGGGTTATAAATGGCTTAAAGAGAAGCTTTGGGCCTAGATTTTGTGCAAAGCCAATGACAAACAAAAAGAAAGGCCAAATAATGAAAGAGAGCTTTATGGCAATAACTGATTTCCTCGAGAACACTGCGAATGTTCATCTGCTGTATCGCAGATTTAGTGGATAGAGAGAGACTGTCCAGTAAACAAAAAGTTCCTTCCTGCTGCTAGCTAATGTCTCCATCAACAGCCATATGCTCCAACAAATGCCCTTGAGCAAAGGACAGAAACTAAACCCCGTCTGTCTTTTTCCATCTCATTGGATTAAAGAAACAGCTAATAATGCCTGTAATGTAAATGTAAATTTCCGTCCTCAGGTGGAGATCGAGAAGCTGGACTACCACCACTATCTGCCTCTGTTCTTTGATGGCTTATGTGAGACCGTTCATCCGTACGAGTTCTTTGCCCGCCAGGGAGTCCATGACATGCTGGAGCACGGAGGCCCCAAGATTCAACCCGTCATTCCCCAGCTCATCATGCCCATCAAGAGTAAGTCTGCGAGGGTGTCTACTCTCACGGTTAACAAATCACAGCTCCTTTCCCAAGTGACCCCCGTGTGTGTTGATGTCATTTTACCTTCACTGTGTTCCCCAGCCACTGCTGGGAAAATGTGGTTATCTCAAGACTGAAGAAATACCTTACAAATGCTGGTATTGTGTCAACCTGAATACAAAGAGTATTGTTTAAAATGTCCCAGTAAGGTTAACATCACAGCTATACATCGAGCAGGACAGACGACATTTGTGCATTTCAAATATGTGTAACTTGATATTATTGTTTTAGTACTAAAATATGTTGTAATTATCACACAGGAACATTATCACAGCAGTTGTCAACCATTAAAATACGGCAGCTATTCAGTGGACATCTGTAGCAAAAATGTTCCGACTATCTTTATATTTTAATTAGATTTACAAACCCTTTTTGTAAGTAAATATTATTATTATTATTATTTTAGAAGAGGCTGAGACAAGTAATCTTCTCAGTTAGAGTTTAATTGCAGCCTTAATATGTTTTTTTTCATGTCATTATTTCATTATTTACTATTTTGATAACCGCATTAAAAAAAACCCCATCTCTGCAGTCTTTTCTTCCACAGCTAACCACCCGCATGTTTTTATTCCCTAGTCTATTCAGTCTAATCTAATCTTTCATTTTATTTTCTTGTCTTTATTAACATCGTCCACTCCACTCCATCCTACACGAACTAATCATTGTCTTTCTTAGTGGGGGACAGGGAATCTTTAGGGGGAGATAGCAGGTCAACAGTACGTGCCACATAGACGTGGTGTACGTCATATAAAAGCTGGGAACATGAAGATTAACTTGAGATGAGTTACGGTAAAGTTTAGAGTGTATAAGGGCTTAGCACATGGTGATGGCAGAATATGATGGTCGTTTCCATGCTGAATTATTTCTCAAATTGTTGCAGCATTTTTTGGGTTGATACCATTTGTTACACAGATTTGGCATCGAATTTAAGCATTTTTACCACTTGAGAATTGATATAAATGGTAAAAAATCCCTCCAAAATACTACAATAAAACACCAAGACCTTGAGGAACACCACAGAAAAATTCACACTGTGATTTGGTATCAGAAAATGTTGAGGTTTGGAGATTTCTGTAAGAATTGCATTTTTTGGCAATTGGATGGCGAGCACTTCTGTTCTAGAAACTGCTGAGAAACCTGCTTATTGTCAATATAACTATGAAAGCATAACTTTGGAGCATTATTTAACCCCCTTCCGGACAAGCTAGCATGACATGGTTGGTATTAATGGATTCCGTAGGTCAAAATACCAGTGTCGACTCTAGCTGCTAGAGCCTCTGAAAGACAGTGATGTTAGCCGAGGACGCCAGCGTCCTCTTGGGGGGGTAAAAGAGTTCACAGCTTCTTTTTTTTTCATTTTAGATATATCTATATCCGCCAGTATGTAAAGAGTCTTTGAGAACTTTGAAAAGCGCAATATACATCTGATGTATTCTTCTTTTTCTTCTTCTTCTTCTTCTTCTTATTAATACATTTAGATTTTTGTTGGCTGATCTCAGACAAATCCCAAGGCTCGATGACATTCTTTTCTTATAGTGTAGCTCACTGCAGCCTTAAATAAATGAAAAGCTGATAACACACACAATTAAATAAAAAGCTTTATTTAGTTGGTAGGAAACATGAGGTATCATAAGGAAAGTCCTGTGTAATTTTCCAAAAAAAATAACCTAGCTTAAAAAAATGTGAGAATATATTAAATGAACTGTTATCAATATGAAATGAAACTATTAAATCAATATTAATATGCATCTATATCTAAGATGTATTTTTAAATAGTTACACACAATGACACTGCAGCAGCAAAGGGAGTGCAACCAAAATAGGACAACATACTTTACCAGGAATAGACTCACCTGTCTTACACACTTGCGCTACAGCAGATTCTAACATTACCGTACAACAGTCCTGTGACACGTCCTAATTTGGTTTCACAGTCATACGGTTCCTATTATTACATTAACCCTCAGGGCGAAGCGTCCTTGTTTTTGCATTTGCGGGAAGAGGTTGGCTCTAAAAGCATGCCTGATAATCTGCCAGGTGCAATGTGGTGACATGCTACATTTAACTGTGTCATCGTGGTGTGCCTCCTTACCTTTCCACGCTGACACGTTCCACGCACACGCACGCAGTAGGCAGATGGAGGTGGGCGGAAAGGTCACATCCCGGGTCAGAGTGGTGTGTGACCATGGACATCAGAATTTACAGTGATGTAGACGCGGAGGGTTTCATGTGCGGCAAACACAAGGTACAAAGAAGTTAGAGGAATGCAGAGTGTGGCTTTTGTTGGAGAATTTCAGCACACATGCACAGACTCACAGTCTCACACATGCACACACACACACACACACACACACACACACACACACACACTGTCTTTTGTTTGGCGCCGCTGCCAAGTGGAGTGTCAGTTTCAAAGTGGGAGCCTTTAAGTGGCGCCCAGTGAGCCTGGGATAGTGTTCATGTCATGGGCAGTTGGCTGGTGGTGTGTACGTGTATGGAAGTGTGTGTGTGTGTGTTCTTTGTTTATGTGTGGGTGTTGAATGTCTGTGGAGGCAGAGGGGCGTAACGGCCAACACTAGGCAGGGCTGTTGGAGACACAGTGACAGACTGACCCTGGCACAGAGTCTGTCACCACGCTACACACTGCTCTGAACACACTCTGCAAGGTCTTACCCATTACACATCTCAGGCTGACATATCCAGCTTTGCGTCTGCATGAATTACACTGTATTTTTAATAACAGTATTCTTATATTCTGAGTGATGGAAAAAGCAGTGTTGTATTAAAATAAATTTGTTGAATGAATTTAACCCTTAACTGTTTGGATCAAATTTGACAGCTTTTGAGGGGGTGTTGAAGCTGAAAATGCTATGTCTGTTTATATTTTTAATGGGACAGTTGTGACAGAGTTCAAATGGGACCTTGACATGAGAACTGCCTACGCTCCCACCACATTCGTCCAGGCTCCCACTGAGACAGACACCTGTCGGTCATCAAAGTGTCAAGGGGAAATCTTGAAACAGTGGGGGAGCAAAACAGCTTTGGCATGATCATAATGCTCATACAAACCAGTGGTCATAGGAAGAAGTGTAAATCACCACGATACGATATTATATTGATTCTTTGGACAATGATACGATATGTTGATATACAAAGTCTGCCACGATACGATTTCGATTCGATGTGATTTAGGGGCCTGCAATCGACATGAGACATCTGCCCATTTAACACAGTCGGTTACAGAAGAAGCTGCCGACTCTTTTTTGCTTTTGGCCTTAAAAGATAAAAACAACACAAATAATGTAAGTAATTGTAACAGCGTAAGCTTACCTTAAACTGACTCCACTAACACACATAAAAGAGCACATGGGATAAGTTAACCTTCAGGGCTTTCTGACAGAAAGACTTTCTGGAAGGACTGTCAAGGTTCAGAGACAAAACAATTGTTTTTTGCTAGTGACCCATTATTAGTTTTAGCATGTTTACATTGCATAAATTAACCTAGCAGCTAGCGAACTTACCTCTATTCTTAGCTTAACGGATTACACGTAACATTATTAGGAATTTTTGCATTCTAAATACATCTGTGGTTCAAAATTTGGTATAGATACTTGTTAAGAGGGGATTCTTGGAGACCATACTGTGAAGGTAAAATATGAACAGTGTAAGGATTAAATCTGGTTATTTTCATGGCTTACTGGTGTATTATGTTGTTTCAGGTGCATGATTTGTCAGCATCTTTCCACTGATATTTTAAATATTTGAACAGCCTCATGTCCATTTTGTCCTTCATCAAGAGGCATCCACTTTACACACAACTTGACATTATGCACAGAACGACCGGGCCACTCGCTAACTTAGACAGTAGTTTATAAATTCAAATCCCTCAGCAGTTTTGGTCATTTGCCTCGGGAAGGCCAGACCAAAGGTGATGGTTATGCTCCTCATGAAAACACACACTTCGCACTGATAATGGAATTTTAAATGGCCTGCTCCTTATTAACTTCTTGGTTTATTAAAAATCGGGCCTGTTTCGCCATCCACAAGGCAAAGCCGCCAGTCCGTGTCTCTGTTGCAGATTAATTACTTTTCTATGGAGCAGGAAAGAAGAGGGGATGGTGGAAAGAGGAAGAAAGTAAAATACCCGTCTGCAGACTAAAATGGCAAGATATATATTTTTCTCCTCTGACGTTAATACATCTTCAATGTGGCTGGCAGGCTCTTATCTGCAGAGCGACTGAGTCACGTCAGGCCCTGGTGAATTTTGATGATGACTGCAGGTCACCCAATGAGAATACACAATGAAGGAGGCTCTGGCTGACATTATACTCTGAGGCCCTGTCCTCAGTGACTGAAAGACTGAACTCTTTTCCACTGTACACCCTGTTCCTTTCACCCTGTGTGCAACAAGAAAATAAAAGACGCTTTTAACTATGGATTTAATACATCTCTGCTCTTTTGATGAATTTAAGAAGGGTTTTTTTGTCCTCAAAAAAGCTGAAAGTGCAGAAAGAATATGATTTTATATTAAACACTGATATTTCTGTGAGTTAAGGTAAAAATGTCCTGCTCAGCTCAACAGTACCATGGTGACTTAAGAAGAAAGGGTAACTGTTACTGAAATGCTGTGGTTTGGGTTTTTCTGGCTTCCTTAAATAGGAAGGAGGATTCAGAGCCATGCCTCCATTGAGCCTCAGTTGATTGGCATAACATTTGTTCAGCTTTGGACCAAAATGAGACTTTCATTACAAGAAGATCCTCAGTTACGCCTCTGCACGGGAACATCTTCTTCTGATCTGAAAAGTGTATTTATACTCGTAGCGAGAACAATTCGCCACTAAACTCTCCAACGTATCACCCTACCTCTGACATTTTACAGGAAACAGAATACAAGGTCACGGCTGTTTTATTTTCACTCTGAATATGAAACAGGTCCTTGCATGAATAGATTATTACTTTATTCAGATTTGTCCCAACACAGATTTTATACAAGCATTAATATATCAGACCCTCAGCTGCCTTCTCCCCAGCTCTTTTAATTTTTTTTCCTTTCTCTCTCTCTCTCTCTTTTTTTTTTTTCCAACAAGGCGAGAGTGCTGATGAATAATTGAACAGTCCCGCGGTCCAAATGTCACAGCAGGGAAAATTGTTTGCGCTGGCTGGTAATTAGAATTTCATTGTTTGTTATGTAGGTTTGAAATTCCTGTCATTCCACATTCCACCTTATCTCGGTGATGGCAGATATCTCCGCGCTTGTCTATCTGGGGAGACACTAAGGCAAAGATGGAGAGATGGCACGAGGCACAATGTATTCGCTCATTCAGCATCATCTCAGCTGCGGGCTGGTCCTCTGTATAGGCCTCGCACACAAACACACACACACACACACACACACACACACACTGACAGAGACAAAGACAGACTCTCAAATGGACACAAAACAAAAGACTAGTCATTTTCCTCACATGCATACCTAAACTTGTATCAGTGCAAGTGTAAAATGTTTTATCCCTTTGACCTATGAGCCACTTGTTGTTTATATGACTCTTCCACATTGTATAACCTCCTTCATATTCGGTTGCAGCCGTGTTCAGTGCCGCCTGTGCTCATGTCTGAGGCTGACATTTTGTCTCATTGCTTTTAAATGTGTCTGCGTGCATGTTGGAACGTGTGCATCCCTGCGTGATTGTGTGTGTTTCACTGTGTGACTGTTACGTGCGAATGTACGCTTGTCACAACTTTGTATTTGCATATGAGCTGTTTTAACAAAGGCAGAGGGTGATGCAGTACGCGCTCTAACTGTCACACAATATTTTAGGGTTGTTGGTCTCGTTCTCAGTCGACAGTCATTGTTCTTTGTCAATTTCAATATGGTGCAAGGGATGAAAGTTGCTTCGGTGGATCCATAGTAACATGACTTGCAGTAGATGAGGAGAAGAGAGAAGCCCTGTGGAAGACGGAGGACTGTGGCACAACCGCTGAAGAGTGCGCATTTGTGTGAATTTATGTTGTTGACTCAACAGGCGCTGAACCAAATTAGTAGCATTGCCTCCTGGTTGCTTGTAAAACAGACAATTTATTGCACTTGTGGCAGCAAGCGTTGTCGTCATCAACATTACTGAAGACCAAACACGTTTCATCATTTTTGTTTTTCCAGCCTTGTTGGCGGCGGCCATTTGTTTTGTGAGAGTTAATGTGACCACCCCTCTTGCAAAGTCAGGTGTCAATAGAGAAAAGAAGAATTGAAAGAGGGAGATGGGGCATTAGAGGAGCCGTATTCAAAATCAAGAGCATTAATGTAGCAGCAAACAGATATTTGCCATGCAGAGATATAGTGGAGTAATGGCATTATGAGCAGCTGGTGAAGTCACCACCTGTTTGTGTGTTGTTTGGCAGCACATGCATGTTAGAGCCTATGAGTCACTGTGAGTGTGTCCCACTGGCTAGCTTATTGCTGCCACTATGCACCGTGTTCATATTGTGTTTACGGCTGATAGTGAGACGGTGTGGCACCTCCCTCCACTTTCCTCCCTCAGGTTAACAATGTTAGATAGTCCATCTAGGATTTTGCGATGTTGCATTTGCAACAAGTAAACAAATTCATCCAATCCCTGTGAATTCTGCACGACCTTGCTATTTTGTCCAGTCACTACATCTTCACCACATCTTCACCGTAACTGTTAGCATCACACGGCTAATGTTACCCAGAGGTTATTAACAAGTTTAAAAACAGAGTCGAGCCAGTGTAGTGTCTATATGTGCCCCTCACTAAGTCCCGCCCCTGCACGCAGACTGGCCAATCATAACGTAGCATCGGGCTGGCTCAGACCAGGGTCTGACAACAACACAGCTGTGCTCCATTGACTCTAATGCAGTTGTTTCAGATTTC